TAACATTGACAATGGGAACTAGGTAAAATTATCATATTAAGTTAATAACAATACATTAATGGACAATAATAATTCAAAAGCTTTCACAGAGATCAATATAATTATACAATTATTAATCAATGTGGTTTAAAAAAACAGTAAATCACACAATATAAATATAATTTTATTGCACATTTTTACCATTGCTATTTATCAATTGCCATCAAATCAGTTTTAATTGTATATCATTTACATTTAACTACTATGAACGCTTTGTAAAAATAATAATTTTCAATTTATCAATGGGTTAATTATATTCCATAAGGTAATTAAAATTAATATTAATTTTTTATACATTTTTGATTATTGGTTTTAAATTACTGCTGTTAGAGAAATAAAAAAATATTATGTTGTTTTATACTGTATTCAAAAAAAAAAAAAATTAATAAATAAAAAGCTTTATTATATTCAAGACAATTATTTAACATTTAGTAGCAGTATATACATGTAGTATATAGTAGAGATAATTTTTTTTTGATTATTATCTTGTGCTGTATAACTACATCAAAGAAATAATTTAAAATGGAACATGTAAAATGAAGAGTAAGTTTAACAAATATTTAATTGAAAAAATATTCTTTCATTTTAAGCTATTGTATAAAAAAACACAATGTTGATGAAAAAAGAAGAATATATGTGTTATATAAATATATTAAGAATAACTATAATTGATTATGGTCTGATCAAGAGTAAAATTTCTTTAAATTATAAATTTCAAAGAAATCTCTTATTAGCATAATAATGATAAGAAAAAACGTTTAACATACATAAACTATTGTTTCTATGATATTATTTTTAAACAGCATTAAAAATTATTATGGATACAAAACCTCTTTATTATGAAAATATGATTAAAACCTTATGAATAGGACAATATAATTTACTTAATGTTATGTTTTCTGAATTTGTAGATGTGTTAAAATTAGAACTGTGTTCACCAGTTATTTCTAATAACAATTTCGAGCAAATATTATAGTCAACAGGTAATTTATTTTATGAAAATATTATAATTTATGTTTTAGAAAATATTTTATAGGTAATGTCAGTAATTTCAGCATAAACTATTTTCAATGACAATATAAAATAAAATGAAATCTATAAAGTGAAATAAGATAACTAAAAGTAAAAACGGAATATGTTTCTGAAAAAATAAATATAGATATATATAATATTAATTTTGTTACTATAAAAATAAGAATCACAGTTTTTCTACCTTATTATATAGGAACTGTTTGATTATAATCATAATTCTGGTATAGTTGATCACAGTGATTTTGAGATTCTATAATTACTTTAGTCTGTGGATGATAATCTGATCTATCATCATTATGTCTCATCTCGATTTCCAAATCATCCAATGTTGTACCAGAATCGTTTGGTGTCAACGTAATTAGAGAATTTGCGGCTGTATGTGGCAAAGGTTGACGTAATACTTCAGGGACATAGTCAAAACCATGTGAATGATCACGTCTTCTTGCTGGACTTGGTTGAACTGTACGTGGATTTCTTACCTTAAAAGGTTGAAACGTAAATATGTATTTTATATTATATAGTTCGGTGAAAGACATAAGCGCCAAAATCCTAGGTACTTGTATGCCACAGTAAATAGATATTAAATTTAGAACTATATTGTTCAAAAACTCCAAACATTTAATCTTAATTAACATATGTATTATCTGATTATGATAGATTGTCACATAGACAGTGTATGAGCAGTTTTGTGTTATAACACATTGTTAATACCTACTTCGTGAGCATTTGTGTAAGAACGTCATTCGTTAAAATTGATTTTATAAAAACTATTATGAATAAAGGTGTTGTGTATATTTTATATAACGAACAAAAATATAGATTTTAGCGAGAAATGGCCAGTGGGAATGTGTCATTGAGGTGTAAAAAATAAATATTCTTTATAAAATAGAGATGGATAAACCTATGAATTCAATTGTTCGTGTTAATGGTGAGTAAGGTACATTTTATATGTGTCCGAAATTCTTTTACCAGCTATATACGATACATGTTTTTAACTGTGGAAGATTTAATTAATAACATTTAATTTACTGTCAACTATAATGTAAAACTTCAAAGTTATACGAATCAATGTGGGAATACATACAGAAATTGTAAGAAAAATATAATTTAGAATTTTCTCCAAAAACACTCTTAGTTGATTTTGAAAAAGCAGCATAATATGGATTTTTAGCAGTTTTTCCAAATTCAAAAATAAAATGTTGTAAATTTCATTTGGGGCTATGTGGTTTCGGAAAATTCAAAACTCAGGTCTTTGAAATGAATACATGAAGAACTCTGAAATAGGGATTTAGTTGAATCCTTTTTTTGGTTTGGCTATTCTGCTGTGCACCAAAGAATCTGATTCTTTTGCAGATTTAATATCCATCACATCTGAAGATCAAATAACCCCAAACTTAGTTATTACTTTTTAGAAACATACATTGATTCTAGTAATTTCTATCTAAAATTTGGGCTGAAATTCTGTATAATGAGGTTATATGAACTACAAATGSAGCTGAATCATATCATCAACATTTAAAAGATCAAATTTATGTGGCACATTGTTCCATTCATATAGTGATCATACTGATAAAGTATCATTTTTGCATGTATACCAATTATAATTTACTACCTATTGACTTTTTTTTTTATAAAATCGCAACGGATATACTAAATTTATATTTATTTATTTATTTGTTATTGAATATTATTTTAGTATAATATATTATACACTATAACTTTTTATAGGATGGCAATTTTTAAATAACTACTTATATAAGATATTCATTTTAGCACAAATTATACAGGGTAATTCTTTTATCAAACAACCCTCATTATTTAAAAAAGTATTCACTTTTTCAAAATATTTTTTTACATAGTTTAGAATTGTTAAAAAACCAACGTTTTTATTAAAAAATTATATTTTTAAATATTTTTTATCCTTGTCATTTTTTAAGTTTTTTACTTTTTTGGATGACAACAGTTTTAATTTCATATTCCAAAGCAGAATATTTTTCTAAGTATTTTGATTCATAAAAATCGAATTTAGGACGAG